ACTTACCACAAAAGTTTATAGCTGGAAGATATACAGTATAGTTGTCCACTCTAGCCCCATTATCTACTTGATAAGGGAAGTAAAACCAAGAAATATTAAGTAACTCACTCAACGCTCCTAAGGTGGCATTACCTAGCATTTCGTGGCACCAAAAGGGAAGATACAATTACATGTTGCTGAATTACATAAATTACCAGATAAATGCATTAAATTCATCAAATAAATTAAAGGTGTGACTTTGGCAAAGCAATTTAATGGCTCAGAGGGTGGTGGGAGGCCTCATCTGCTTTTACTTTGAAAGAAAATCTCTAGATTTTTGTCTATCTTTAGAACACAATGTACAGAACTCAGCCTTCTACTACAGTCAAATGCTAAATTTTTGGCTGAGGAGTTATGGTACTTATATGATAAAATCATACATCTCAAAACCTACCATATTTTATGAAACAACATCATGTAAAAGTCTGATTCAACAGAAACATTGGAGAGTGATGATTTTTTTAAATATGTGAAAGTATATATATTTGTTTCCAAAATTATTTAAAGTGGCCATGATGGAATTATAAGTTTAAACAGTTTGAGTCAAACAGATAAACCTGCATGCATGAAGCACATTAAACAGACGTCTTTGGCTGGAAATATTTGTTGCAACTCTCAAGGTCAGACACATTTTCATGTCTCTTCTCAGTCATTGCTTCCCTCCCATTGTATTACCATTTTATCATTTAAATAAATGTAATTCATCTTTAAATGAATATAGAAAAAAGAATCTAGACATTATTTCTTTAGCAATTTCCCTTATGCTTATCTAGTTCAGAAGGTCACATGGTATATGGTTAAATAATTTTCCCAGCGCATATGCCACTTGGAAGACTCATAGTGAGACTTAAGTTGATGAATGAGCAAAGATTATGGGAATTTTTTCCAGAACTGTTATTTAGATAGCAGCACTAATCTACTTTGACACGTAACTACACATTTAGATAACCCCACTGTAACTATATACATGAGATTTTCTTGAGTAGAGAACCAGAAAGAATCAGATAACTTATAATAAGAGAAGCAGCAAGGGAACCTCTTTCTTTTTATAGTTGAACTTCTTTTCTTCAAAGCCAGGACCTCTACTTGTAACAAGCTCACCTCATGCTTAAGCCTTTGCATATCTTGCTGTAAGTCTTCTTCTAGATATGCTTTTGATGTTCTGTCACTATGTGGTGGAGAATAACTCACATTTTCTAATTCGGGTTTCATGCTTTTATAGATATTAGCAGTGGGACTGTCACATGTGGGTCCCTGAAACACACTTGCCAGTCATCTTCAAAGCTTTAGAAGAGCTTCTAAGTTCCATACGGCTTGTGGAACAAGTGCTGTATTGGTTTTCGGTTTTTGTAAGTGTCTGTAACAGCAGAAATACTGTAGCTTTCTATCCATATTACATGCTTCAATTCTTTGAAGTGAGCAAACCACAAACCAAAAAGACTTTTTGCATCTCTAGACTGAGGACTAATGTCTAATTTCCAATCTGTGGTATTTTGGGTTGTATTTTCTTGTCATTTGAATATCAAACTCTTGGTCTTCTTTCATTTCAGCCATAACTACTGGGTTCCTTAATTTTTCAATTTCTGTATCATTACAACAATTCTTTTTCTTCTTCATCTCTGTGAGAAATGGCGACATGTCTGGTTTGTTACAATTTTTACAGTCTGATTTATTTTCATTTGAATAAAGCTTAGAAGACGACTGGCAAGTGTGTTTGAGGGACTCCGAGTGTAAATGCAATGACAAGACCTGAGTGAGATGGGCTCGTTCTGTTCAGGCAATGCCTGGAATACTAGAGAGTTAAGACACTCCAGGTGTATCTGCTTCCTCAGGGATATTATCAGGGATATGATTCATCAGATTACGGGGCACTCCCTTTAACTTTGTCCCTCTTTAGGTTTACAATGTAAGAGCTCTTCCTCAGGACAAACAGTAATTTTGGATTTTTCAAAACTTTCAACAATCTTCAGTTGAACTTTTTTGTAATGAATTTTTTTTTTGAGATGGACTTTCACTCTTGTTGCCCAGGCTGGAGTGCAATGGCATGATCTTGGCTCAACACAACCTCTGCCTCCCAGGTTCAAGCGATTCTCCTGCCTCAGCCTCCCGAGTAGCTGGGATTGCAGGCATGTGCCACCACATCTGGCTAATTTTATATTTTTAGTAGAGACGGGGTTTCTCCACGTTGGTCAAGCTGGTCTCAAACTCTCAACCTCAGGTGATCCGCTCGCCTAGACCTCCCAAAGTGCTGGCATTACAGGTGTGAGTCTTTGTAATGAATTTTAAAGGAAGTCCTGAATATACAGATATATCGTCTTTATTACAATTTTTACCCAGTTCTGGTTCTGGAGACTTTTTTTTTTTTTTTTTTTTGCAGGTGCAAAAGTGAAAATTAATTTGCTTCTTTTGTTTCTCAGATGTCTTTTCTGACAGGGTGCATGTTTTAAAATTAACTCTAGTCTCAATTAAGTATGAACAAAGAAAAAATAGAAAATAATTAAAATTGAACTGTGAAACTTAATCTATGTTTTACTACCCCTAAGTTACTGGATTATAACTAAGAAGTAAAAAATAATTTGCCTTGGCTTAATATAGGAGAAAAACATGAGTCAGGAAGCTTAACTCTGTTTGTTTGGAATAAACTTAATTCATTATGAATTAAATCTGACAGAAATGGGTTCACAGATGATATGTAGTATTCTACAGGCTTTCTCTCTTCAAAGGATTTTTACCTCAGCATACCCTAAATAGTGAACCCCTACAGTGAATTAATATCTCTGAGGATTAACTAAAGAGTTGGCAAATGCTAAATTATTAGAAGCCAAAATGAATACCAATCAGAAAGACAAGAAAATTTTTAGATTCTACTTCAAATATTGTACTGTAATATGACAGTGTTATCTAGAAAGTTATCTGCTTATATCCAGGTCTAATATATTCTAAGCTCCACTAGTGACAGTGGGTTAAAAAATTTTAATAGCATTTTCTATTTATGTTAAAACAAGAAAGCTATTGTTTGTACCCTGACACCAAAGTCCCTTTCTGGAAGGCATGAGTCTCTCAATAGGCAGTTGGGCTGATTTTATGAACCCATCCTCTCCCTAAACATAGACACTGAAGGCAACCAGAAACCAAAAAACAGACGAAGTCTTTAACCTCAGCACTGGTGACCAGCAACACAAAACTGCAAAGTTCGAACCACTGGGAACCACTCCTTTAACATGAGGTGAACTCAGGGGCCATCACTGTCCAATTGTTCATAATTTCTCTTGCTTAGTAATACAACTCCATTTCTGATGTTACCTTCTTTATCATGAAGAAGGTTATAAAAATAAAAGAGCAAAGCGACTTCTGGAAATTTCTGGCCTCAATTCCACAGGTACAGATAGCTATGAGTTACTACAGACTGTAAGAATATTTCAAATTTTATAACTGGCTAAAATGTTTTAAAATTCAATATGAAATTACGCTCTGTTGGATTCTGAAAGGATAGCCTGTAAGGTCACTTCATTTGGACTATGCTATGGTATTAAAGAAAAACAAACAAACAAACCAATAGTAAACCAGAAATTTAAATTGCTATATACCTGTGGCTGTTTATTTCCACTTCTTTCAAGTCTTTCTTGCTTTTCCTCTGAAGCCACTTTTAAGTTGTGTTCTGCTGACAAATCCATATGTTCAGTTAAAATGAATGACTTAGAATAAAGACTATAATCTTTATTAAAATGGATACAAAATAACATACTTTTATTTTATAAATTGAGAGTTTAAATGAAGCTAAATGTTTATGGGAATATTTACATTTTTAAGAAGCACTTCTAATTACCTAAAACTTAAACCACTTGGGGAGACACTAGATATCAGCAGGTTCAAGACATGCAAAAGTCTCAGGGTCACCCACAAATTATTCCACCCAATGTAAATAAACAAAACTGCTGGAAACAAAACAAAATTTAAAAATACAGTGAAAACATATAAAGTAACACTTTACCACTCTCTACTTCATAGTAGTATCTTTTAAACAACATGCTAAGTTGTTATTTACGAATAATTTGCAAAATTTTTGTTACTGTTACACCTTTATAATGTACACCCTGTTTTTTACATCTGAAATGTTTTCCTCTACTATTCTGATAAATGTATTTTTGTGTTGTAAGACTCAGAATGTAGGCTGGGCACAGTAGCTCACACCTGTAATCCCATCACTTTGGAAGGTCCAGGTGGGATAACTGCTTAAAGCCAGGAGTTTAAGGCCAGTCTGGAGACCATAGTGAAATCCTGACTCTACAGAAAATTTGCCAGGTATGGTGGTGTGTGCCTGTAGTCCCAGCTACTCAAGAGGTTGAGGCAAGAGGATCCTTTAAGCCCAGGAGTTTCAGTTTGCAGTGAGTCTCGATCATGCCACTGCACTCTACCCTGGATGACACAGTAAGAACTTGTTTCCAAAAACAGAAAAAGAAAAAAGGAAAAAAGGCTCAAAATGCTATGTGAAGTCCTCCTTGAATCTGGCTATCTTTCTCCACATACACAGGCTCTCCGTCCTTGGGGCTCCCTTAGTCCATTTTTCTAGTGTCACTTCACCATCTGAACTGCGCATCATATTTTTGCACGTCTATCCCCTTTGTTGCTAGACTGTAGCAATCATCTTTGTATAAAGTCTTTATTTTACTAAATGTTTAATTGAGTTCCTGCTAAGTGGTAGGCACTGGGGTTTAAAGAATGAGAATAAAAGCTGTCAGGGATGGTTTTTCTAGAGATCATGCATAGGCTGAGACTTAGACAGTGAGGTTCACCAGATTAAAAGAGGCAGAGGGCAGGAAAGATAGTACATGCCAGGCAGTGGCAAGAGAGGGAGAGAAGCCTCCCAGAGTGTATGTATTTGTCTACATGAGAGGGACGGCGACGGGGGCATCACCAGCAGCTCAGTAATGCCAGAAAAAGAGGCAGACAGAGAAAGGGCTGCAGATGGGGATTTGGGCAGAAGCCAGTTTCTGAAAGCCTTATATAAACCAACTATTACTGTTGTTTCTTAAATTTATAAAAAAAGCAAAACAAATTAGAAACACATAATTCCAAGAAAAAGACCAACATTTTACTTTATTGTATCTTATCCTATTTGACTTGATTTTTCTTAGAGATGGGGTCTCACTCTGCCCCTCAGGCTACAGTGTAAGGTTGCTATCATAACTAACTGCAGGATCAAACTTCTAGGCTCAAGTAATTTTCCTGCTTTAGCCTCCCAAGTAACTGAGATCACAGGGGCAGAACACCACACCCAGCTACAGATTTTTAAAAAATAGACACAAGATTTGGCGATGTTGCCCAGGCTGCTGGACCTCCTAGCCTCAAGGGATGCTTCTATCTCAGCCTCCAACACTGCCAAGATCACAGGCAGGAGCCACCATCCCTGGCAACACCAATATTTTCAAATGAATAACCTGGAGCTCCACCATTTTATTTTATCATGGATGGGTGAAAACCTTGTAATAGACTCATGGACTCCATGGATTTGTGACAAGGAAACTATAGCATTAACTATGGCTGAAGCTTCCCTTGTCTCCCAGTCTCTTCACATGGTTAAGAGCAGAGACACTCAAGTGTCTTACCTTTTGCACCTTCTTTCCTTTTTTTCAAATTTGCAGGCTTCACAGCTGCTGTTTCTGCCAAACATGCAAGCTTGTTAGCTATTCCTTCTAGAAAACATCATCCCTCTGCCTCCTTACCTGGCAAAGTTTCACTTATGCTGCAGGCTTCCCCTAAATCCTACCCATTTTTTTAGAAGCTTGCAGTCATCACCACAAAGTTAAAAGTGCATGGCATCTAATGAACACAATAAATTTCTAGTAAGTAATAACTATATGCTCCCAGGTGACACCTATCCTCCATCTACCTTCTACAAAATGGGTCAGCACACTGCAGACCACACGCCAAATCCTGCCTACCATAAGTTTTTCCTCAGTAAAGTTTTATGAAAGTACAGTCATGCCTATTCACTGACATGCTGCCTATGACTGCTTTCACACTACAATGGCAGGGTTGAGTAGCTACGACAGAGATCACATGGCCTTCAGCTGCTTAAATCGTTCTTGAAAGAGAGAGAGAGAGAGAGAAAGAGAGACCACATGGCCTAAAATATTTCCTATTTGGCCCTTTACAGAAAAAGTTTGCCAATCCCTGCTTTATACCCTGAACAGAATGTCCTAATTCTCAAATTGAATCTAATGCCTCCCCTGCTCACAATTTTCCAATGAATTTCTAGAGCAAACACTGCTGGCTCCCTACCCAAGAGCAGTTCCTTGTTGTTTCTTGCTGGAGAATCACAAATCTATTTGGATATTTATTATCTCAATACTCCTCTCCAGCTTCAAAAGGTAAGTGATTATTCAAAGCTAATCACATAACCACATTTGCTTTCCCAGTGCCTGGTTTAGGAATGAGTATGTGGTGTGATCCAGCTAATAAAATTTTACAAAAAGGGCTGAGCACGGTGGCTCATGCCTGTAACCCCAGCACTTTGGGTGGCCGAGACAGGCGGATCACAAGGTCAAGAGACCGAGACCATCCTGGACAACAAGGTGAAACCCCATCTCTACTAAACATAGAAAAATTACCTGGGCTTGGTCGCACGTGCCTGTTGTCCCAGCTCCTCGGGAGGCTGAGGCAGGAGAATTGCTTGACCTTGGGAGGTGGAGGCTGCAGTGAGCCGAGATCGTGCCACTGGACTCCAGACTGGCGACAGAGAGAGACTACATCCCCCCCAAAAAAAAAAAAAATTACAAAAAGTCCCCTGCAAGGTTCTGAGTTTTCTCCCAATTTAAAAGACACATGTGAAGAAAAGCAGCCCTTCCAGCCTTTAGATACTGTCTTGTGAGAACATGATGTTTGGAGCTGTTGCTAAGTAGCCA